TTCTGTGTTTTTCTGTCAATATGGGGTGCTGTGTGTACATTAATGAGGAAAAAAATGAACTTAAATGATTTTAGCATATGGCTGCAATATAACAAAGAGTGAAAAATTTAAGGGGGTCTGAATACTTTCCGTACCCACTGTAGGAACAGAGCTTAATCTCTCACTCTAAGGTGGCATATCTGAAACATATTTAAAGAATGGTCCTCTGTTTCTTGTGCTAGAATCCTATTGTTCACCCTAAAGCACTGCTTAAGTATAAATTATGGTCTAATGATACACATTGTCAAAGATTTTACCTTTAACATCTCTGGTGTTTTATATTTTTGTGGGCAAATGTAAATCAAATATCGTGACAGTTTTTTAACTATATGTTTTACTTAATGATTTCGGAAACAATGTGACACTTGTGATATGGGATTTCAGCCATATTCCCCACCCCAATGTTATGAGGAAAAAATAGTTTAAAGTCACACAGGAACTGGGATGGGATCCAAAAAGCTATTCTACAGAAAGTAAACTGTTACAATTTTGGGCTGAGACTTGATTTTTTGCTAGGGTTAGGGTTAGGTTAAATCTCAAGTATGGCTACAACAAATTATTATTTTTACTATTATTATTTTGATTAATCTATTAGTTGTTTGCTCAATGTAAAGAAACGCCCTAAATTAAACTCAAACAAGTGCCGTTTACTATCATAGAAGACTGAAAAAATATTCCTGTTTGAGAAGCTGAAATTTTACATATTATCTTTACCAAAAACCCAAAACTATTAGCCTATCAAATAACCTGAACCTGTTATTTTTACACTAACACAGCTGTTTTCCCATGCAATACCGTTAACTGTACAGCTGCGTCATTTTAGGCAGGCATACAAATATAGGCTGTCCATCCTTCTCCCTGTAAACAAAGTTGTCCTAAACTACTGTCCTTCTCTTACAAAAACTGTAAAGCCTGTCCAAAATATAAAGTACAAAAGCCATACTGTAAAGCCACTGACCGTATAGTCAATGTAAGACATAAACAGTTAACTAGTTAGCTAGTAGATGTTACTTCGCCATTTGAGTCAATGGTCACTTCCCTTCTCCCTCGACCCTCGGCAGAGGAAGTGCCTAGATGTTTCTACCACTCCTAATATGAACATTATTTTCAGTAAAAGTGCCGCCTATTTGTCACATTTGCCATTTGGATTGGACGATATGACTGTCAATCAAGACGTGAACGGGAACGGTGCTGTACGTCGCCTGCCAAGAGCTGTCAACGACTGTAGTAGCTACATTTCAGCCGGATTTAAAGCAAACACAGGGTAAGAAAACATTTTTACAGTATTCCAATCATTGTGGGATGAGGTTCCCACATGCCTGTGCGTTGTTTTTATACGCTGGTCCATGTTTTACCTCCGTCTGGGCGGCCATAATATACCCTGTATTGACGGTCATTTACATTGCCATTCATTCCCTTGAGGCATACAAAAAAGCTTTGCAGCAGCATCCGGCGAATTATTTGTTTACAGGAGTTACCGAACTTTATGCGTTGTTGTTTTGCATACAGCCTATGAATAAGGCTGGTTAATGAGGGCAGCTGCAGCTAGTATTAGCCTTTAGCTTGTCACCTTTTTAAGACAACCTCAAATCTTTTGCTAGCTCCAAGAAGTCCCTGCTCCTGAACTCGGATCAGATACACAGTACAGTAACGTTACATAATACAATACACAGACCTGTGGCCAAGTGAGTTTATATATTGCAAGTTGGACATTTAATTATTGTGTTTAAATATGTTTAATATTTGTACATCTACTGTTACTGAGTGCAAAACCTTTTTGTTAATTCTTTCTGAATGTGTGCAGGTCTCTGCTGCTGGTGCTTCGAATGTCCAAGCACAAACTCTTTCTGCTGAGGCATGGGGAAGGGGCCTGGAACAAAGAGAACAGATTCTGCAGCTGGGTTGACCAGAAGCTGAGCAAGGATGGGGTGAAGGAGGCCCAGGACTGTGGCAGGCTCCTGAAAGAACAAGGGTACAAGTTCGACCTAGTATTCACCTCCATTCTTAGCCGTTCTGTCCAGACAGCCTGGCTGGTGCTGGAGGCTATGGGCCAGGAGTGGGTGCCTGTTGTCAAATCCTGGAGACTTAATGAGCGCCACTATGGTTCTCTGATTGGCTTGAACCGGGCAGAGATGGCTTTACAACATGGGGAAGAAAAGGTGAAGTTGTGGAGAAGGGGCTATGATGTCACTCCACCCCAGATTGATGAATCCCACCCTTACTTCCTGGAAATCTACAGTGACCGCAGATACCAGACTTGTGACGTGCCAAAGGAGAACCTACCCCGTGCAGAGAGCCTGAAAGAGGTGCTGGACAGGCTGTTGCCATATTGGGAGAACACTGTGGTGCCAGAGATAAGAAAAGGCAAGACTGTGCTCATTTCTGCTCATGGAAACAGCTGCAGGGCCCTGCTGAAACACTTGGAAGGTACGCTGCTGAACTAACCTAAACTATTATAAACAGTGCTCTCCCACATTTCCTTTTTCCTGAACTCCTGTTTGGTGCTTTGCAAGTTGCTGTGTCTAGTCATCAGTCACTGAATTAGGAAGGACACATTTCAGCTCCAGAAATGGAAGGTTGAACTTGTACAAAAAGGCCAGTGAGTTTATGTTACATTTGGCTATGGCCATGAAATCTGCCCTGACCTTTCATTACACTCGAAAGCTCTGGGGGCTCCATGTGCCACAGGCCATTCACTAACTTAACACACATTGCTTGTTATATTGTAATATGCAGCACAGGATATATGCAGTCACACATTTAGCAAAAACCTAACAGGCTGTCATTACAGCTTTCCCACATATATTTTCATCATAATGCTCCGTTATGTAAAATGGAAGATTACATTGGTCATCAAGCCTGGTTGTGAGAAGTGTGTCTGGCTTAATTTTAACCTTTTTGTCTTTAATTTCAACAGGTATATCAGACCAGGATATAGCTAGCGTGACTTTACCTACAGGGATACCTGTGCTGCTTGAGCTGGATGAAAACCTCAGGCCTGTGAAACCCCGACAGCTGCTGGGGGACCAGGCAAAAATTCAGGCAGCCATTAAAAAAGTGGAGGACCAGGGAAAAGCCACACCATCAACTTGAATTCATTATACTGGCTGTAAAACCTAACATAACTCTGCACTTGTTGCCTGTGTACACTTTTTATTCAGTACAGTGAAAACAAAATTCTTCAAACAAAAAAAAACAACTCATAACTTATTATTTAACAATAGCTGACTGTTGGTAAGATTGAAAGAATAGGTGCAAGTCTTACAGTGAAGTTCCTGAATGTGTAATGGTGGCTTGAGCTGGATACAAAGTGGGTGTAGCAGGTTTCTATGGATGCAGGAGAAGTTCTGTATATGTGTACTGTAAATGTTCAGAACTGCTTTGAATTGTATTTTGTGTAAGCACTGAGGATACGTGTGGTTTGTGTCTAATATTTAAACCAGCTATACCTACCTACTTAATGCCTGTATGATGGTGACCCTAATGTGTCTATTTATTTATTTACTCAGTGACTGTAGTAGTAAGGTGCTGAGGCTGAAAAAAAACTTAAAATATGCCATATTCAGAAAGAAGAAATATTGCTCCTTACTAAATGATGATTTGCTGTTAGGAATATTCCCCTGCATTTTTAATGTGCCTTCAGTAATAACATAATGCTCACTTATTATTTAAGTAGAATATCAAACAGATCTTGTGGGGATTTTATTTAAGAGTTAAAGCACTCCTCTAACAAGTCTTGCCTCAAACTGAAGTTGTTCATTCCAAGAATGGGATAACTGAGCCACAGAAATGCTGTAAATATGCAAAACCTCTGAAATCAGTGTAGCCAACAGCCTGGCTGTTTGGTGTGGTCTTTGGTTTATGCTTTGCACTTTTTGGGGAATATTATGGACTTATTTAAATGCAGGAGCTATTAATGGTAAATACCAGTACTTTGAAGAAATGTAATTAGAGTTTATTTATTTTAAAAAAAGCACAATTTTGGTTTTCATTTTAGATTCTAATTTATTATAATACATGCAGTTTGATGTTACTATGTACTGTTAATATCATGACTGAAAATGTTACAAACCACTTGAATCTGCACAGTATGTCTTGCTGTAGCTGCCTGACTTGTTACATTACGTTACTACTTTGCGTGGCACTGGCTACTTCATTGTCTGTTGTGTTTTACGTCTTGTATCAGTGTCTAATTCTGTTAATCATTTGTGTCTTCTGTTTCCCCACTTTGTTTCTTGTGCCTCTTTTTTGATGTTTTGTACACTGGTCTGTTAGGTCGACAGGGGTTAAGGAACAAGTTACAGTAGGAACATGCATCTATATTTAAGATAGATAGATAGATAGATATTTAAGGGTAGAGAACACTGATAAAAGTGTAAGATCACACCTTACCATATGAAGGTTTGCATGAAAAAATAAAAGGGCATGAAACTTTCTGAAGGATCTTCATTTCTGTGTCATGGTCAATTTTAAGCTTTGTTGTATCAGATGGTTCTTTATTTCACAACAGGAAGCAGTTTCAAATGCCACAGTGATATAAAGCAGGCTGTACATTTACTGACTGAGCAATAGGAACTAATTAGAAAACAAACAACAATGCTGTTTGGGAAGGACAATTATGCCTTCTAGTTGAATTTTGGTTGCCTTGAACCCACTGGAAACAATAAACAACTGAGCCTGTTTAACTACCACAGATCTGTAATTTGGCCAAACCATTGGGGCCGAAGGAGGGAGAAAGCCTCCAAATGGGAATGATCCTAAATGTGCACCATGATCAGAATTATTCTTGTTTCTCTTTATGTGGATGTAGTGGTACTATGTATCTTGGTAAACATTAGACTGTATAAACCATAGTGTTGACATGTACCTGCAGACAACTGGTCATTTCTTCACACCAGCAAAGGGATGAGTGTAACATGCCTTAAGCTTGTTTATTAACTGCCTCATAAACTAAGACATTTTTAGGACAATAGATTTTATCAGTCATTCAAAACACTCTTATGCATTATATAACAGAAATTTAGTGGTGCAAAATCATGTAGAAAAGAAAACACCCTGACCCACAAAGGTTATGTTTATAATTTTCTCAGAAACACTGATTTATGCTTACTGTTTATTTTTAAAGACAACATCTGAACAAAACCTACAACATTACAGGAGAAAATCTCAAAACATTTAACCTGAAAACCATGGAATTGATGACATTCCTATTTATATGCCCTGTGAGAACATCACTAAGTTGCAGCTTTGGCAGGCGGGGCTGCTCATGCTGTGCTTTTAAACCTCTGGTCGCTCTCCCACTGCTGACTTCCAGCAGGACAGTCACTGTGATCTGCAGACTTGGTAAGTTTTCATGATGCTATCCTGTAACTTATCTAGTTAATTCAGGATAAAGAGGAATGTTTTTAACTGAATTATGTGTAGGAATTAGAGATTTGGAATCAAAGTTTAGTAGATGATTTTTGTCACTAATGACCGCTGACATTGTGCTGATTTCCATACATCACAAGACTTAGACTTAAGCAGCTGGTTTACTTTAAGAACAGCTACTCTAAATTCAACACTGCGACTTAATTGTTGACAAAAAGTAGGTTAAATGTTGTATAGATACACAACTTCTCTACTCCCACATACAAATATTTTATTTCTGATTTAATCTGGATACACCTGTCTCAAAGTGAATTTTTCATATATCTGTTGCAAATACAACTTTATGACATTGATTGGAGAAAAAGCTAAAGACTGGATTAAGAAGTACTCAGTCTCTATGAAATGTTAAAAGGACTAAAGAAGATACTCAAGGGTGCACTACTTTGAGGAAAAGCCTGGAAGGTACAACTTCCTTAGTCAGACTAACAGTTCGACAAGAAGGAACTAAATGTGTAGAGAAACATTTTTTAAATTCTATTTTATTTTTTGCTCAGTGACAAAAGTGCAACAATTTTTTAAATGCAAACATTTCTTTATTGTAGATGTATAATTTACTCACAATACTGTTTCATAAACTGGTTGGTGAATTCTATTGTAGTTTGGATAGTTATTTTGACACAGTCTACAAAACTATGTCTAAAATGTTACTGAGCAGCATTTAATGCAATAAAAGTTAATAAAATACAGTTCCTTTCAATCAGGGGTCATCAAATTAAGAGGAGTGCAAAACATAAAGCTCATATAATTTAAAATGTTTCTGCTGAGAACTTGAAGGCACCGTGTCCACATTGCATTCATAAAATAATATTAATAGGGTCCAGGTAGAACCTGCATAGCTCTAACAAAATGGCATATTTCATGAAATAATTGTAAACTGAAATAATGTAGTTGGGTCATTCTGCAAATGTGTGGTTTCAAACTCCCAAACTTCCACTTTTTCCACTTTTCTTCACACTCACATTTGTTCTGTTCAACACAAGAGTGAATACAATTAACTGACTCTAGTTTTTGCAACTCTTACACTGAGCAGACATCCGGCTGTGGAAAAGCAGTGGTGGACATGCCAAAGCAGACTGCTATTCCTTAGATGGTATTGAAGATAAAGGCTACAACCACATGGGGTTGGAGTGTGTGAATTTTTAACCACAAGCTCTGCTTCTTGGGAGCTGGAAGTGTGTGTGTGGATTCACATCCTCTCCCTTCTTTATTACACAACTCAGAATAAGTTTGCATCATGAGAGTGAAAACAGCATTGTACCCACAGTAAAATGTTTGTGAGAGTTCAATAATTTTTATTTAATGACGTGTAACTGTGGAGGTTTAATTAAAAAGCAGCATCAACTTAGCAGTTTGAGTTTAACAGCTGTCATTAAAAAAAAGTGAATCAAATTAGCCAAAAGAAGAACTGATACAGGGAAGATTTGGTTGCTGATATTAGTCTGAACACAAATGAGTCTTTGTAGTCAAAATGAAAGGCAGAGAGAGTGTGGCTGTACAGATGGGGACACTAAATGGGAGAGGAAATGATTCTGGACGTGACCAAATAACAGGAGGGGTAGAGGTGATTGTTAATAGCTCTGATAATGAAGCTATTCATCAGCAAATCAGTCTGCCATTAAGTCTCCTCAAGGAGAAGTAACATGCTTTGCATCAGTACCTGAACAGTTCAGGAGTAGGATTAATTTGTTTAAATGTCCAGCTGTTTCTAATCCACTGTTTAACCCTACTATTATTATAAAATCAGCTTCTAACAATCATAGTCTTTTTATCAACAGTAACAATCAGCCTTCCATTCATATTTTCTGGCAGCATTATGGAAAGCTGTATCATAGCAGTCCCAGTGGAAATAAGTTATTCTTGGAATGCCACTTAGTAAAGCAGTAGGTATTTTTTAGAGTAAACCACACTCTCTGTCCATGTCCTTGCACCTTGCCAAGCAGAGACACTACAACTAACACAGGCTGTGCACTTCCTTAAAAGGAGGCTGAGTACGCCATCTCATTGGGGACGTGGAACAGGGCTTTGAATCTGGATTAATTTAGTGTCTTGTGTCACCAGACATTTTTTATTCCAGTGACTCAAGTTCAAAGTCCTATTTATCAGAAAGAAAATAACAATTTCCACTTTTTTAAGGTTCACCTCTCAGTTGCTGATGGACTCCTTGCATCCCTTTGTGGAGCTGTAGAGTACTGAGTGGAGGTTCTGAAGAGCCTGAGTGTGTGTCCTGCCCACCCTGATACTCTGTATATAGATGTTAAGATGCTTTCAAATCTCCACTTTAACAGCTGATGGGTTTGGGCAACAAAACAACACACACCCTTTTTCTACCAAACTGTACACATTTTTATGAGCCACAGAGAAGGTCAGTGCTACAGTGTGTTGTGGCTTGTAAACTGTGTGGAATTTGTGTCTTGGTCAGGGACTTTTTCATACATGACCATGTTTGGTCATGTGGAGCTGCTGTGGCTTCTTGATCAATTGTAAATGTTTCTCTGGAAACTGTTTATCTACAGGCCAGTTGAAAAACGTTTTTTACTTTTTAATGAGAGTGCTGTCAGATTCTGGGCAAGTTATCCATTGTTAATCAGTGGAAATTACAATGAGAGGAACAAAATGATCTATTTTAATTCCTTATTCACCAACTTCACAACTAACAAGTACAATTGTCTAGAAATGTTAAAGGATTTACAGCATTAGATTAAACAAATATTCATATCCAGTACCTCTGTCTTCACAGTAGAAAAGGCTGAAAAGCTTGTGAAAAGTTTATTTGTTATTTTACACTTTCTTCTTTGTTCCAATCACAAACTATACTGGACTGATTACAAGAGAGAGCGAGCTTGATGGTTACTAATGCATGTAAGTTCTTCCTGAACATTTCCTGACTGTTGATGCACTATTATAACTTGTCAAAGTAAATCACACAGGTTTTAATAGAACATAATGCTTCTAACTTGTCTCCTTTTGATATGTGATTAATTTACTGGCTGACTCAGGCTCCCTCTCCTCACTGAGCCAGTAATCACAAAGTCAGCCAATAACCAAAAAGCACATGATGTGTACACAGTGCTGAGATGAACAGAAACACAAAAGACAATAATCCATTAAATGCTTAAATGGGAATCACACCAGACAATTTTTTTGCCAGTGTACATTTCACATTCATGCCAGGTAGTCACAGTGTTTTAATTTGCAAAATGTCAAGTGAATTACTTATAAATGATATTAGTGATCATCTACCTGTATTTTTGGTTTATGACTGCCAGTATAGAAAAGAGAGGCCAAAAACAAATCTTTTTTATAGGAGGGTGACGAATGAACATGCTGTAAGGAGGCTAAAAGAGGACTTTATGGGGCAAGACTGGGAAGCAGTTTACAAAGAGGAAGACTTAGACAAAGCATATGAGCAATTTTTAAATATATTCATGAAAGTATATGACAGGAACTGTCCTCGTAAGCAGTATAAAAACAAAAGGAATTACAGTGGGAAACCGTGGATGAGTAAGGGATTACAGAATGCATGTAAAAAGAAGAATGCGTTATATAAGGAATTCATAAAGGACAGAT